AAAAGTTAAGTTAATAAAGTAAAACTAGCTACATCAAATGAACAAGCATTCAGAAAGAGCAAAAATACAAGTTTTTAGCAGGTCAACTAGATTGCTAGCATATGATTTGCTTTCATCATAAAATAAGTTGACAGATTAACCTACCAACATTGAATCTTTAATGCTATCCTCAAAGTCAAGGCTTTCTTCGAAAGCAGTTGAGGTAGGGATGGGCATGGAATCATAATTCATAATCCTTTAATTGAAACCCCAACCTAGTCTAATGTCACCATTCAAGAATAATATACAATCAAACTATCATTAATAGTTAAACAAAGTATAAGTTCAAATAACAAATGAAAACCTCATAAAACGAAACTAACATCAGAAACTTCAGCAAAACATAGTCCAACTGAGATAAAAATCTAAGGCATTACCAAGAATAAGCAAGACCTCCTGCTTCACTTTGATAGTTGTACTGTAGTTTGAAGATTCTTGAATAAAAACCTCTTACATAGAAAGTACTGAAACAAGGTATGGCACCGGCAAGTTCCCCTGAAAAAAATTGTATTTACTTTTATGGAATAAGTGAATATTTTAACAAGGTTTTGAGGAGGTCAAATGAAACTAACTTCATAATACGAACTTCCACTACAAAGAACAAAGTTTAAGAAGCACCTTTCTGCAATGACCAAGCACAATTGTCTGTAAACAATTTATCACGGCAAGAGAAACGTCTTTACTACCATTGAAAATGATGTTTTCTTTCCGAGTATTTGAAAATAACATGAAAGCCGAACTGACACAATTCCTTCCATGTATAAACAGAATCATCAGCACAAGAATCTAATAAACACAGCTAAAATCCTTTATCTATGCAAAGTCAAACAGTAAACTGGTACATATTTGGCTAGCAACTTACACTTAGATAAGGGAAAATGGACAGACAATGCATTGACCATGAAATTACAGTTAAAGACCTAAGAAAGAAGAGACATACCAGAAAAGCCGAAGCAAATAAAGACCTGAGAAATACACTATTCAAACGTTGAAAAAAATTAGATTCAGTTCATTTTACTCCATTTTTCTCTGAAACCAAACAGATAAAAGCAAAATTCAAAAATAAAACCAGATATGACACATATATCTTGTCCTCAAAACAACAATAACTTATCTTGGGATACTGAGTATTTAGAGAAGTTCACTAATTGATACAACACTTGTAAAAGAACAGTGGGTTTCATTCGACTAGTATGTAGTATATGTTTTGTTGCTTAGAGAATTTAATAGAGAGAAAGAGATACGGAGATACCTGAAGTAGAGAAATGGGAAAACGAGTCACTGCGTCGGTGGCTCAGTGGCTCGAACACTCGGTGGAGAATTTACAAAGGGAATTAGGGCTCTGACTTCGGTGTTTAAGTGTTTGAACTTTGAAGCTTAGGGAAAAGAATTGTGTGGATCTTATTGAGAAGATTAAGATCAAGCTTAATCTTTGGGTGAGCATGCATTTGAGTTATACGGGCAGACTCTAGTTCAACAAAGCAGTTTTGTTTAGCTTAACTAATTATTGCTGCAGGCAATTAATCTTCCATCGTGCAGTTATTATTATGATCGAGCAGTTGTGCACCTGATTCTTCTGAAAGGACTCTGATGTTGCTGCAAGCAATGTATGAGTCAGTTGGAAGCAGGTCTGCTCCTTAATATCGGAGGAAGGCCTAAGAGTAAAGGGTATTAGAGAATGGAATAAGACTTCTATTCTCTGTTTGATCAGGAACATTTTGGCTAATGAGGGATCTTTTTGGTTTCCTGGATTAAGGTTTATGTTCTTAAGGGTAAGGATTTTGGCAGGTTGATGTTCCTAGTAATGTTATTTGTAGTCTTAGGAAGATCTTGAAGATGAGAGATGAGGCTCGGTCGTTGTTTTTGACTTCTACTAGTAGTGGCGGTGGGAAAGTCAATCGGATTTAGAATGAGATTAGGGTGAACGGGCTAAGAATCCCATGGCATAAGGTCGTCTGGTTTCAAGGCCATATTCACAAACACAACATTGTTGTGCGGATGATCATCTTGGGGAGGCTGCCTGCCAAGGATAGATTCTTGAGGACGGGGCTGAATGTGGATGAAAAAAAATGTATTATCTGTAGTAACGAGGTTGAGATGAGAGAGAGAGAGATCATTTTCCATTTGGCTACTATTTTGCAAAGCAACTTTGAGAAGGTGGTCTAAAGCTACGTGGTCTCCATAGAAGTGCTATGTGCTGGGAGAATGAGCTTGATTCGGCACTGCTGCATTTCAAAGGTAAATTTCTCCTCGCTACTGTCCTCAAAATCGCTTGGAATGGTCATGTTTATTGCATGTGGGAATTGAGGAACTGCAGGCAATTTTAGGGGCATAACCGGACGGTTGTTGATGTTTTGCAAGCTATCAAATTGATGGTTCAGATTAGGCTTAGGGGTTGGAAATTCAGTAGGCTGAATTTTGTAAATGACGGGATATGTAGAGCATGGGGCATTTCTTAGGTGTCCCTTGTTTGGTGTTTTCCTGCCCAAAAAAAAAAAAGGAGGTGATGAGACCAGCTATGAATCTGGAAATTAAAAAATAAGATCTAAAATTTTAATACACTTATTTTCAGAAAATTTGAACGTGTAAACTTCGGTGAGTCAATTAAATATTGATTCAACGCTGTTGTAGGGTTCTCAATACAATGTTCCAGTATATATCAAGGCTTTGGTTTCTTGACACAATTCTCCAAGCATCTATGTCGAAGGGCCATATGGAGCATAAGTTCAAAACTATAATTTTATATAAAGCAAAACATCAACCAAACAACCTTTGAAAACACCAACTTTTATTCACTACAAGTTTGGAACAAATGTATAAACGATGACATTATTGAAAGTCGTACAATGTAGGTTGCTTATAACGAAATGCGGAGCATATTTTCAGAAACTACACTGGCATAAACAAATGCCATTTTGACAATGATATGCTTTGCAATGTGGTGGACAAACGGCAGTGCAGTCAGCATCTTTGCTGCATTTAGGTTTAGCATCCACCATGGGTGCAATGTTAGAGGGAGGTCCCCTCCAATAGCACTGGCACTGGCACTGGCACTGGCATGTATGGGTTTTCTCGTCGCAATAGTTGCTGCCATGTGGACCCTTGACGAACGCACAGTCTACGTCCCTTGTACATGATTTTCCTTCCGAGTTCGATACACCTGCAAATTAAAATCATCGTTTAATTCATTACATACGTGTGTTTTTTTACATAATTACGTTTTCAAACTTGTGCTTTATAATTACATAAGAGTGAATTGAAAACTTTTGCTTGAAGACACCCAAGCAATACCAAATCTGTTCACTTTTTTCTTTTTCCCATGTTCTGAGGTTTGCACTTTTTCTTCAATTTTAAATAAAATATTTTTTAAATGTATTTATATCATTTTCTCAATTTTAAATAAAATATGTATTATACATCATAGGAGTTCACCGTTAGGACAACCAGCAGGAGCGACAGTAGTGCAAACAGCTCTTTTATGGCGAATTCGTATCCTAGATCCAGTTTTCCATTGTTTGCTAGTCAAGAGCATTTTCATCGTCAGTTCTTGTTTTTTCCGAATCAGTATAAAGGGGCATAAATAATATAGAGGAATTGCATGAGCTTTACAAGCCTTTCTTCCCCAAATCTCAGCACCTTCCTTCACAGAGAAAACAACATCAAGAACATCAAATCAAGCCTAAGCAATCCCACGTTGGCTCTGCTCCAACAACAAGCAGCACTTGTAGGATTCCCAGTTCTCATAATTCTCGATCTAAAAGAAGGTAAATTTTGACATTAAAACAAGCCACTTTCAGTTAACCAGCTCAAAAGTTTATTGTATTGAATTTTTTGTTACTTCCCCCCTTGAACATAAAGAATCAGCTTAAAAGGGCTTCCCAAATTCAGGTAGAGGGTTTATCTTCATATGTGTGGGCATGGAGAAAATATAATAAAAAATCCATCAAAGAATCTCCTTATCCAAGGTAAATCATGTGGAACGATGTGTAACTCGAATGTATTAAATAACTAGTTGGTATATCAGTATAAAGTTATGGAGCTTAAGGGTAGAACGAAGTGTAACCCGAAGTGTAAATCATAAGGAATGATTTTCTAGCCTTCTACAAAGTTCAAAGAAAAAATAAATTTATAGATCTGTTTCCCCATGGCCATCAGATGTCTTGTTAATGTGGGTACTCTTTGATCATGAAGGCAACTTGATCACTGTTCAATCAAGTGAAAGTAAACATTCCCATCTACTTGATAATGTGACTCCAGTCACCTGGGGTACCTACAAGAAAGGAGATAGAAACATGTTTAGTTTCTGATTTTATGAAATACACCAAAGATTCATACCTACCAAGCTTAGTTCAAGCCTACCATAAACATAAGAAGGGCATAGATATAGACCATTGAAAGAAAGGATTGAGCCAAACCTTTAGCAGTTAAAGTATCACATAGTTGTTTCCGCATGCTAATAGTATTTATTTAAATCAAAGTCAAAGTTGCAGAAGTTGAAGGGTAGGTACTGAAAGAGGGAGAGAGGGACAAACAGTATTTATTAATGAATTAAATGTTGGTTTAGATTATGTACAAAAGACGTAGATTATGCGTACATCAAATGTCCGCATGGCAATAACTACTGTGACGAGAAAGTTGCGGTCTTATCTCCTCCTTTGGACAATCTATTTTATACCTACAAAACAAGACAGACACAACAACGAAATAAAAATGAGAAAAATAATAAACGAAAATCAAAAATTATAATTTCTAAAGATTTCAGGTTCGAGCAATTATATCTATAAAATATGTATACATTATCAATAGTAGACTAAGAAATTATATAAACATATATTATCCTATAATCACATTGGACTAATAAAAAACTAGATAAATCTCCCTAAGCTCCCAACTCTTTAACAAATAACCCTTTTTAATGTACAAATCTACCCTAACTAGAATCCCAAACATAAGATTGATTTTCAAGTTGGAAATTTACCTATGCATCTTCTCAAAAGCATAACCCAATGATTTAAAAACTGAAACCGCCCGAATCTTTTAGGCCATCCACTCCCTTCTTCACCATCAACATGGCTAAACCTTTTTGCTGTAGTAGCAGAATGGTCGTAATTCTGTGCATCGACGTGAAATACACGAACGCCCCATTTCTCCACTTGAGTTTCTTCTCCGATGAAATGGTTTCTGATGTATAATTCAAATGATGCCTCCTCGTAATCATTGTTTATTATGATCATATCCTCGTTAAACATAATCAACACATGTTCACCCTTGTACCTATACATCTCTTTCGAAATATAACAAAGACGGCACTCACTTTGGAGCTTTTCACCACCGGCGGCTGTCAGTCGATACTTGCAGATGAATTCAAGATATCGGTTTACACGCGTTAAATCAACCACCACGCAGATTGCAAAAGCTAAGAACCTGCTCCCATTTGGTGTTATCTTCAAACTTAACCAAGAATTCACACTTCGATGCTCAAATTCATGTGCTGAAACTTCTTTTCCTGAGAAGCAGCAAAGCAATTGCTTTCGAGAACAACTCTCTTCGGCAATCCCTTTCCTCCTTGCCCATCTCGGCGCTAGTGATCGAATTCGAAGCATGGCATTTGTCTCAATGTTTTTAATTGAATCTTGATTCAAGCTTCTGCAATTTGAGAATGACATGGAAACGTATTCCGGATCCGGAGCATCATCATCACCATCACCATCACCATCATGTAAAGAACAATTCGAATCGAGATCAGTGAACGATACTTGTTCTAATGATAAGCATTCATCTACATCCAACCACCGCAGGTATCTCGGAAGCTTTGAGAGGGTTTTAAGGCTTTTGCAATGAAAAAGATCCAACTCACCAAGGGATTCTAACCTTGAAATGTTGCCTGATACATGTTCCACCTTCGAGTATCTTAATATCAACTCTCTTCCGACAAGATGCTGAATCGAATCCGGCACCGTTTCGATTCCGGTGTGTGATAAATCTAATCCGGTGTGTGATAAATCTAACTCAGAAAAGTTATTCGGGAGCTCAGGAAACTTCTCGAGTTTATGACATCCCTCAAATTCAAGCTTTTTAAGAGACGTCAAAAGGTTGAGTTTAGGAAGCTCAACCAAACTTTCACACCCCGTACATACAAGGCTTTGAAGGTTGATGGCTCTCGATAGATTAGGAATCTTCTTTAGTTTCTTGCAGAAACAAACATCAATTTCCCTTAAATTATCAAGATCCTGTACAAATATATATACAATAACATCGTTACTTTATAGTATCATCTATTTATTTTGGGATGTATCGATAATGAAAAAACAATATAAAATACCTGATCATCTTCGTTCCAAAGGTATTCCATATAGCCAAATTGTAATTTCAAAACGACGAGATTCTTTGGACTAAAACTTGATGGCATGGATTTGAAAGGGTAAAACATCCAACAAAGATACTTCAACTCATTAGGAAGAGATACGCTAACAAGTTGCTTCTCATTTTCCGACAAATACCCGATACGGAGGTGGAGATATCTAAGATTAAGTATGTTCCCAAAATTAGGACATAATAGTACCATGTCTCTAATTCTTGTCGTGACTAATTTTATTCCTTGAATTGATATATTCACCTAATGACAAATAAAATGTGTTAGATATTTAACTAACCAAAAAGATCTTGAATAGATTCCCTAAGTATTGATCATCATATATGGTAAGTAAATAAATATTTTATTTCCTAAAATAACAATTAGACTAATTAATACTATCTCCGTCCCATTAAAATTATTTATTGATTGTTTAAAAGTTAAAATTTTTAAACTTTGACTATGATTATTTTTAAAATTAATTTTTTTTAAATATATATTTCAAAACTACTTGATTAAATGTTTCTAAAATATATTTCCTCATATTTTTATCAATAATAAATTTTAAAAAATAAAGAGTCAAAATTGAAAATTTTTGACAAAAAAATCAATAGGGGACAATTTAAGTGGGAGAGGGAGTATTTCATACATCTTAACATGTAACAATATACAATTCAATGAATTTATATATTAATACCATATCAAACATAGAATCTAATAAAAATCACATAAATATATATAATAAAAATATATCAATACAATTAGCACTTACTTTATTATAACTGAGCACTTGATTCACGTCTTTAAGAGTCCATAACCTACTGCGTTTTCTCGGGTCTGTAAGTCCTTGATGAACAATGTCCTTTCCCATCTCTTCAAGCATATCATGCATAGAAATTCGTCCATAAGAATCCATATGAAGTAGGCATTTATCAAGTAAGTTGCTTATTCCACTCACAACACCCTTATATAAGCAACTAAGAATTTCTTCTACAAAGCTGTTGGGTTCCCCTTTCAAGAAGCAAGCAATATCAAGAAATATATTCTTATCCGAATCATCCAACTCATCAAAACTTCTCCTCAAAATATGTACAAGTTTAGGATGTGGAATTTCCCCGAGTTTATCCCCCTCATCTACCCACACTTTTCTATCCTTTGTATATAGTTTAGAGCCCAAAGCTATCAGAGCTAGCGGATTACCCTGGGCATACCTCAAAAACATATACGATAGATCTCGAAAATCAGGAGGAGGATTCAAATGCTTAAACGCAAATGTAGAAAAAAGTTGAAGAGAGTCGTTCTCTTCTAACATCTTCATTTCATGTATTTTGTTAGCTCCTGCATTGTTAAGCACTTGTCTATCTCTGGATGTTACAATTATTTTACTTCCAGCACCAAAATATTCCACACCCATATGATCTATTTGGTACGAGTCACTAACATCATCAAAGACAACAATTACTTTCATATTCGTGAGCCTCTGTCGGGTAAAATTGGATCCTATAGAGAGGGTGTTTATACAAGTTTTTGAGTTCAATAGTTTAGAAAGAACTTCATTTCGTACTGATTCCTTCCCTTGTTTTTCTATTTTCTCTCTGACATTTCCAAGAAAGTAACAACTTTTAAACTTTTGAGAGATTTCATGATAGACAACATCAGCAAGAGTAGTTTTGCCCGTACCACCCATTCCCCAAAGTCCTATTACTCGAGTATCTTCTTTCTCAATTAAATTTAAAACCATTTTTTTCTGATCATTTATTCCAACCACTCCTTCAGAAATACTTTTAGATTTGCAGTTCAACTTTTCTATGACATATTGAACAATTTCTCTAATGTAATCGGCATCAGATCTGGAAAATAATTTTAAAAAATGAAAGTCAAAAGAAAGACGAGCCAAATATAAGAAGATGAAAAATATATATTTGTATAGTTTACCTATCAGTTTTGTCTCCGTTTATATGCCACCCTTTTAGTTGACCTATTTCAACAAAGGCAGCTTTCCATCGCTTCACTTCATCGAATAGCCTGTTCGATTCATGATCTTCAAAGGAAGCCTTGAAACTCCCACCAATATGTCGGACATGAGAAGGATCAACATGGTAAAAGATGGGAAGAACAATATGTTGTCGAGTGTGCTTGTGCTCCATGATGTCAGAGAGTTCAGATAAGCATGATTTCGAAGAAGCATAGTCCATAGACAAGACGATTATAGAGAGATTCGATGCTGCACTTGCTCGGGAAAGTGCTAGTGAAAGCTGCTCCCCTTTTTTCAGTTCTGTTTCATCGAAGAAGACATTTATCCCGGTTTCGTTCAAAGCTTTGAGAAGATGGCTGGTGAAGCTAAGACGCGTGTCTTCGCCTCTGAAGCTCAAGAAAACATGATACTCCAATTGAGAAGAAGAAGAAGAAGCCATATCAGTTGCTTTGATTGGTATACAGAGAGACAAAAGATAACCGTGAGAGTTTTGCTTTGATCCGCTTTGTTTGTGCTTATTTTATTTGCAATATCAGTTGAGTTATCAAGTCAGATTAGACTAATCCTTGGCGGTTGGGGTTTGGAAACCGTGTGTTTACTTTGGAACCTACTGAGTTTAAAATTAAATACTCTGAATTGATTATCGAAGTTGTTTTTATTTAATGTTTAGGCATAATTATGAAACTACCCCTACTGTTTACATAAATGATCACTTTGACCCCTATTCTTTTTTTTTTGAGCAAACCCCTAACGTTTCAATTTTTGGTCAAAATACTCTCTTTTGGAAGGAAACCGTTAGTTGACCAACTGTAAACGCATGTTGCAAACATGACATTTTCACATGTTATAAACACGACTTTGTTTTATCTGGATCGAAATTATGATTTTTCTTCTCTCTTGTTCTTTATTTAAAATCAAAACTTGTGACGAAATTAAATTTTTTGAAAGCTTGTTGACTGAAATAGAAACACTAGAAAACTTAAATAACCAAAATGGGAATTTACTCTTTCACAATCTAATCACATGATTTTCTTTCCCATACAATGCTTAAACTACGTATAATCTTCTAAAACTTCTAAATCTAAATATGCACGTTTAAGTACTTTTGAACTAACGTCTCTTATATTAGGGGTACATCTAGAGATAGACGGTGGCCTTGGCTCCCCTAAATTGAAAATTCCCCACTTTAATCCCTTAAGAAATCATACAAATTATAAATTAGTCTAATTGAAAAAAGGAAAAAAAAGTCACAATTTTTGTTGGAATTTGTGATTTAGTTTCTATTTTTTTAATGTTACATAATTTGGCACCTTTACTTTTAAAATATCATTAGTAGTTAAAACAGTTCATACCTTTAATTATTCCGGTTAAAATATCAAACTGAATCTTTTAGAAAGATGTATTCCAACATAAAAAAGAATTATTTCTCTATGACGAAGATATTTCTTTAGAAAAAATCTAGTGAGCATTTTAAACTTAATACCGTTAACTATTTGAACTGGCTAATAATGTTACAAAAGTAGAGGGATCAAATATGATAAGTTAAAGTATAGGGAGTAGCTTTTAAATTTGAGTATAGTAGGGGGACCAAAACAATAAATTGAGCTTCTTTTTTTTTTAAATTTAAGAATAGATGACCATTGGGATTTTCCCTATGAAGCTACACAAGCTGACATATTTGAAATTGCATCAAAATTTCAAAGTAAAAGAAGAAGAAGAAAAAAGAAAAGAAAAATGAGAAGGTCAAAAATGTGAAATAATGTTACACAAGCTCATTCAAAGGGATTGACGAGGCCCTTTGAAGGGAATAATTATCTTTAAAATTTTAAATTTTTATATTTTTATTAATAATTTATTTTCTCTCCTAAACTTTTATAAATTAATTTCTTCTTTAAATTAAAAAAATAACCTCTTAATATAAAATGATGTGCCTATCGTATCGGTAATCTTTGTTTAATTTTCAATATCAGCCGATCAGATTTGACTAATCCTTAACAATGTTTCACGCCGTGACTAATTTTTCTAATTGTTGTTTTTTTCCTTACATAAAACAGGAATTTAATTGGGTCAATAAATCAGACTCTTTCCTTTAATTTTAATGAATGAATTGGTTGATTCAAAGAAAAGATCCACTTTTTGATTTTTTTTTTGTTTATTTTACCCCTACAAAAACATGCTACGTGAATTATAATTTTCACGTATTTACTGATATTCAAATTTATGTCATTCAGAAATAAATATAAGTGTTGCGATACAAATAAATTCAGGTTTAAGTACTTGTGGGAAGGTCATCCAAGATCATTAAGGTAAATGAGGTTGTCAAATCCATTGACATTTGTTCGGTTATACAGGTAAATATAAGTGTTACTTATCAAATATAAGTGCTTTTTTTAACCAATAACTAGTTGGTCTAGTGGGATTAGACATTAGATTCTTTAAGCAAGTTCACGGATTTGAATCCTAGCCATTGCAAATGACGTAAACTAGATTGGGATGGTTGCCCTTTCCTTTGCAATATTCGATCCAAATTAGTTGGTTAATAAATCAGAATATTGATGGTTATATAAAAAAAAATCATTTTTTAAAAATACTTTTCATATACTTGAATGATTCTCAGAGAGTTATCTACTTGTATTATGTCCAAAATTATATCAAATACAACTACCATATGAATACTAATAATTTAAGGAAAAAAAGTGTAATACCAATTACCAAATATAAATGATTTTTTAAAGTATAATAGTCGGTCATCCTTTGTAACATAACTGGAACTAAAATACTTTTTCTTCTTTTCATTTTCATTTTAAAAAAAAAATCTCGAAATTGATAAGATTTAAATCAAACCTTCGATTTAATTTGGTTCGTTAAGCAATTTTTATCATTAGATTAATGTGAAATTGACATATAAGGTTTTTTCCGACTGAAAACATATTCATACTTATGCGAGATTTGAACCTATTTTTTTCAATAATGATAATGCACTAATTCGTTGAAAACTACTAATTTGATGCTTGAGATGATATGAAAACACACTTAGAGTTCATTTAGTAGTATTGTCTAGACGTACTTTTGGTTAAAAAGTTAAATTTAAAAACAAAAATCATTATTAGACAAATAAAATTTACAGGTAAAAGTTCGTTTAAAACGATGATTTTAAATTAATCGAATTTTTTAACTTTTCCGATTCAAATTTTGGTTTAGAAACAAAGTTATGCTTTTACGCAATGAAGTATAAGCTCCACTCTTTTGTCTAGAGAAATAAATTTAAAATTCAATTATTTTTATAAATTATATACTAATTACGTTTTGCCCAGAAAAATTGTTAAATTCATTTTATATTTTTATTATAATAATATTTATCATTTATATTTTTATATAATTTAATTTTATATATTAAAATATTAATAAATTTAAACTAATTTAAATTAATATAACTTTAATTTAAAATATAATGTTTAAAAGAGATATTTTATCTTATTAAAAATACTTTTTAGAGAACAATACTAAACAATAAAGTCTTTATTTTTCAAAATAACTTTTCAGATGTAATTTTTAAAAGCAATGTTGAACTGACTATCACAATAAGACATTTGATGTAGAAATATGTAAGAGCAGAGCAGTGAGCAAAGCAGCAATATTTGCCCCCATCACCATGTTGGATTTCGAGTTCATCACTTCTGCTGTGAACCCACCACAAGAGATTTGTGAGTGAGTTTCCATCATCGAGAGCCTCAAGGTTCCTTATCTTCTCCAAAGCAGCCCCTTTGTCATAAGTTGCTTCCAAGGCATACACAAACCCGTTCCATCCCTCTCCCACATCAACCCTATCCAATGCCGGCAGTGTCCAGTTCACTAGCTGTCTAGCGAACTCGATATCGGAAAACAACACCTCGCTGATAGGCAATAAGGGTAGCAATTGGATTCCGAGCCGGCATTGTCTCGAGAGAGGTGAAGCGAACCAAAGGCCGCTGTCCCTCTTGTTCGCCCACAAGACTCCTACGATTCGGTTCTCTTGTGCGAATTCTTCTCCATACCGATTAGCTCCCTCCTTCACATGCCACCATGTTTGTGCTGCTTGAATCTCTAATGCCATAAGAGTTGATCCGATTGCAACTAGATGGGTGTCTCCATAGGATAACCCCATTAGTGCAGCAGAGAAATATGCATTCACTGCTTCACCGGTGTTTTGTTCGTTCCTTCCATCTGCGTATTCAAGCAACCCTCCGGCCCAAGAATGCAGTTTGTACAAATCGAAACACCTCAAACGCGGATAATTCGAATTCGAATGCCTGCCAAGGTTCATGAAATCTGCCACGAGCGAGTAAGCTTGAGGTTTATACCTCCGTCCCCAAGCTGGATTGATCTTGGCCAAGACAGCAATTCCATATAGGAAGTAACCGATATGAGAATGGTGGCCACCGTAAACTCCAAAACCAAAATCTGCCCCTGAATCAGCAGAGCCTTGTTTGGTCACAATGCCACCCCATTTTGATTCATACAGGAAACCATTCCCATTGAAAGTCCCATCCAGCCATGGCCCAATTGTATCCTTCAAGAACTTCCTTATTGCTGGAATCACATCAAGATAGCCCACTTCTTCAGCAATCAACGCCAACCTCGCGGCTCTCGCAATCGACTTTCCGCAAAAATAAGACGAGGTCTCCGTTATAGCCGATGAATCCAAGGCCTCAACGTCCTTAGCAAGGGCAGTCACAATCTCGACGTACGATTCTTCCTTAACCCCTTTAATGGAATGCCAAGTTACTGAAACCTGGTGTGCTTTCAACACCCACGAATCACCAACAACACCGACAAGCTCCCCATCAATGCCTCTGTACTTAAAATTCTCTAAAACCTTAGCATCACAACAGTCACTAGTTAAAATATCAAGATGAAGTGGGTGTGCAAGCATAAGCAAATTGCCCCGCCCTTTCGTTTCCCATTTATATTCCAAACAAAACGGTTTAGTTAAAACTGCATCACCTGAGATTGGGTAGCAGGAACTGAACCGATCCAGAACGGATTCATGTATAGGGTACAATCCGGATAGCACAGCAATCCTAATAATACCCGAAAACCCACCGGAACCAATCGAAGAAAGACCATGACTCAAACTGACGGATGAAGACGTATAAATAAACCATGTTTGACCGTTGTTAAGCTTAACGGTATGCTTGGTGAGGGAACTATTCGAAGAAAACGAGAGAATAGCATGACTAGGAGAGATTGATATTGGAGTATTCCCGGTTACAGAGCAGGTCAAAAAGGGACAACCTGGGACAAGAAAGAACCGTAGGTTCGAAGAGGGGAAGTCCAAAGTAACACTGAGATCACTGTAAGAAGAGATTACATGGCTTGGGCCGGTTTTATCAGTAGCAGAGATGGTAAGATCAGGGTTGAAGATTTGATAAACGACAGAAGGGTTGGTGGAGAGAGATGGATAGCATATGGAAAGGGAAGAGTCGGCCGATTTGATGAGATAAGGGTGGATGTACTCTGGTTGGTCGCCATTGTTGAGAGCGAAGTTTTGAAAGAAAGAGTTGGTAGGGAGAGGGGACGAGAGGAGGTTCGGGGAAAAGAAACGGGAAGGGTCGGGGAGGACGGAGGATTGAGCTCTGGGGAAGAGGAAATGGTGAGCTTTGTTGGGGATTTGATGCTTTGGAGGAGACATGGGCGGAGATGGCGGTGGTGATCGTAAAAGAATGTGGGATGTTTGTTGATTAATAAATCGGCTTTTATTGTCAACTTTGTTGTTGAAGTCAATGGCTGTTCAATTAAAAAAAAAACTCAAATGGCTGATAACGGTGGTGGAGGACGGACGAGTCTATAATGTACGTCGCAAGACTATAATACACTATTAAAATGCCATATCTAAATATATCACTAATAAAATTATTGGTATTAAATAAATATTAAAAATGTAAATTACATATTTAGTACTTATAATATTATTTTTATTTCATTTTAATACTTAAACTGTATTTTCTTCAATACCATAACGTTATTTCCTTCAAGACCATTAACTACAATATTGTGTGATATGACATGCCAATTTTTTTTCCAAGCCACTTTTCTATTTCTCCATGAATATTTTTAATTAATTTTATTCAACCAATTAAATGGTGACATTGTCATCGCCTATGGGGATAAAATAAAAGAAAGTGTTCTTGATTTTAGCATGAGGTGAACTTAGGCCTCTTACATGAAATCTAAGGCACTCAACCATTGAGTTAAACTAGTAATTTAAGTTTATTTTGTGTTTAACTTATATAATAGTATCATCGCAAAGGTCAATATTTTTTGATAATTATAAAATTTAAATATGTGAGACTTTAAATTAATTATCGAAAATCATTTTATAATCTAAAACCCTAGCTGCTTTCTTCTTCCTCATCTCTTTTCCTTTTTTTATTCTTTACAACTTGTGTCAATTTTATTGATCAATCCAACTTTTTATTCTTTAATTTTGTTTACCCGACGGCGACACCGGTTTTAATGTTGGTTGTCGCCCTCCAGTTATCTTTTTTTCTTTGTTTTTTAAGTTTATTTAATAAGAATAATTATGTCTTTGTGACATGTTCTCTGCCTTTATGATATTTTTATCTCTGCCTTTGTGACATGTTTTTCTCTGACTTTTGGTATCTTATGGTTTTTTTCGTTGTTTATGGTTTTTTACCGTTGTTTTTGTTTATCTTTTTTCTCAGGGTTGGATTTGACATTGCCACAACTGATTAAGATGAAACTTTTGTGTTATCATGATGATTTTCCCTACTTTGGACCCTCGAATTGATTTGGATACGCGTTTTGCGTTCGTGGATAGTTTTGTCACGTTACTTGACTCTGATTTGCGATTTGTCGATGGTATTTCAGTAGCTTTATCCTATTTGTGGTTCGTTTACCGATGTAGTCAGATTTGTTCATATATTTATTTTATTCTAGTTTTTGGTTAGGTTTTTTAACATTTTCCTTTTTAACCTTAGGGAGAAGCCAAGAATGTTTTCTTACCAATCAAACCCCACAAAATGAACCAAAAATTAGAATCTCATAAACCTCCACAAAACCCGATTTTGTGAAACTTGACCAAAACTTACCAAAGTGGGTTTTAATGAAAGCTTGAAGGATGAAGATGGTGAATCTTACCTTAGAATTCACAATGGAAGCTTGAATTTCTTAAAGATCCTAACTTTGTTTGGTTCTTAAAGAGAAAGGAAAACAAAGAGTAGAGAGGAAGAAGAAGACAAATCAATGATGAAGAAAAAGAGATATCACAAAAATCAGACATGATATCATTCTCAACCAATTGGATTCTGCCTTTGTTTCAAAATTTGGGTTAATTACTTCCCTAGTCCTCCTTCATTTGATGTATGATTAAAATTATCCCTTTTCAATCTTGTTGGGCTCACCCCAAACTCAAATCAAATCTACTTAGGTCCAACACTTCATATACTACAGGAAAATTATTCTAAAGCTGTAATCAACAATTTTCAGCCCAACTAAACCAACCCAAGCCAGAAACTCTAAATCAGGCCTCAAGCTCAAACCTCAAAATTAAACCCGAAGCCCAATTACCTAACTACCCAAAACCTAACCCGAAAATCTAATCCACTGTTCCTCTACCCAACCAAATCCCACCATTTCCTCTCCCAATCAGAAACCACCTTTCTCTGCCTCAATACCCGAAGAAGGCCACTCCACCACACTCCATCAACTACAAACAAGCAAGAAACAAACAAGTGGGAATTATTTCATTTCTATAAACAAATGGGTATTTAAACCAGCAATTAAATTGTAACAGGGGGTTAATTCAAAATCCTTCCCAAAAAAATACTATAACATTATGTTTCAAGCAAAAACAACGAATTCAAAGGTTATTCAATTTTTTTATTTTTTTATTTTTATTATGTTCGAATAGCTTATTTTTATGTACTCTTTCTCTATTGATTAATTTCAAAACCCAGTAGTAAAAAAACTTCCTCTTTTCGAATAAAATTATCCCCTCATGTTCCGTTTTTTAAAAACATATACAATGATTTTCTGGAAAAAAAACCCTTGCATGTTTCGAATAAAAAAATAAAATAGTGTTTTTTCCCTAATAATCAACCAACAATCCAGCAACTTTTACAGTAAATAAAACAACAAATAAAGGGGACTAGATCGAAATCTTACCTTGAGTCGTCGGAGGAGTCATCGGAGCTCGGAAAGTCGAACGGTCTCGATCGTTTTGACGGTGATGGAGGCTGTTTCGTACGAAAGCGAGCCTTGATCCATGACGAGAAGCTCGAGACGAGCCTCCCCGTGAATTTTGGTGGCCAACGGCCACTAGAGACGACGGCGGTCAGTGGCGACCGCGAGGCGACCAGCCGAGAGGGGAGGGGAGAGCTCTCAATTTCTTTTCTGTTTTGTGTTTCAAATGAAAAAAAGGAAAGAGATTGGTATATATAGGAAAAAATAATGGTCTAATTGCATTTTAAATCCCTTAAACTTTGTCGTATTTTTGCATTTTGGTCTCTGTAGGGACCAAAATCGATATTTTATTTTTTTTCTGTGCATGCTTTAATTTTTTGGTAAATTTACTGTTTTAGTCCCCCAAACTTTTCCGTGTTCTTACATTTTGGTCACTGGACCTTTCGTTTCTAATTTATTGCAATTTTATTACTCTGTTTTGTTTTATTTTAATTTAGTCACTATTAGTTTCTGATTTAGCTACTGTTATTTTATTTTTTGCATTTTAGTCACTATTTATTTCTGATTTATTTACTAACTTTTATTTTCTTGAATTTTAGTCATTTTTATTTTATTTTATTTCTAATTAGCCTTTACATTTTGGTTTGTTTTAATCTAGCCCTTATTGCATGTTCAATTTGTTCTTTTTAGCTTGGTAATTTTATATTTATGCAATTAGGTCCTCATATTTTATTTTTATTTTTATTCTATGTTGGTTTTTACTATTTTTATTTTTTATTTGTTGTTTTTATTATTTTTATTATGTTTTAATTGTTTTAATATTTCATAGTTTTAATCTCTTAGATTTAGTTTTAAATTAGAATAACATTCGAATCGTGCTTAGCAATTAGGACGACACTTTAGCTTAATTAGGGAGCAATTCAAGTCGAGTTATCGCATTATACGCCCGATTACTCAATTCGTTTGTTCGATTCTAAAATTAATTAATAATTAATATTTTCTAAAAAAATTAGTGAAACAATTTAGGTAATAATTAGATTTTAATTAGCCCCTAACTATAGAAATTATTAATTTAGGTCCCCAAACTTTTAAATCTTTTAGAACTTGATACTTTAGACCTTAATCCTTTTAGTCCCTAAACTTATATTAGACTCTTAATATTGACATAATTAAATAGGTTAAATAGAGCCTCCATTTTAACTTAGATTTCAAATTAGTCTCTTAATTTAGGGGATAATTCGAAGTGGTTCTCGCTTAAAAGCTCGAGGGACCATTTCAGTTATTCGACTCATTAATCGATTAAAATCAAATAAGATTAGTATTAGAGCCTACGTTTCTAGATTTAAGCCCCTAGGTTCTTTAATTTTCACTATTTTTCATCGTAAGTTAGAAAAAGCCTTAATTTATTTTTAGTATAATTGTGACAAATAAAATTTTGCTTGATCGCATTGTTTTTATAAATCTAAGGCACTGTTCACTTATTAAGGAATTAATAGTATATCTCCCGTAATCATGCTCAGGGGATGATTACTGGTAATTCCCTAAATAAGTCAACATCCTTTTCAAAACCGCATCATGTTTTCTAAAAACGAGGCAATGTTCGATTATTATACATAATAGTTGATCTCCCGCATTTACGCTCGGGGGCGAATGCTATCGATCTCAATAAATGAATACAATTTTCAAACTTTGCATTCTTAATGATTTTTAAATTAAATAAAGATCGAACTCAAAATTTTCGATTTTAAATATAGGGTAATGAACTAGGTACCAATTTTTGAGCGCTTGTGGGGATGTTAATCCTTCCCCACGCGTAACCGACTCCTGAACCTGATTTTTGAATTTTCGCATACCCTAAAACTCAATATTTTGATAAAAATAAAATATTTTATTAAAATCACCCGGTTTTTATGGTGTCTCAATCGCACCTTAACTGATTGGTGGCGACTCCTCATATTTCAAAAATTCTTTTCAAAGAGAAAACCCCCGAGTCGGTATTGACTTTACCTCGCCCGGGCGAAAAACGGTGTCGACTCCACTGGGGACTTTTGTTTATTAAACAACATGAGAGTCGAGCCACGAGTTGGTTACCTCATATTTAGGATTCTGGAAATTATGAGTTCGGTCTTGTTTAATTTACGATTCATTATGTTATTTCAAAAGAAAAATTAGATTTTATCTCTGGTTAATGCTTACACTTTCGTGGAATTATTTAGGATAATTGCATAACATAGCTCTAAACCGAGCTCTAACCCGATTTACCTAACTAGAGAGAAACGTCACACCTCATGAGGAGCATTAGGCTTCCTTGTGTGGGTCTGACAAAGTATCTCTGTAAAGCACCCTAAGTTGCCTATCCGGATACCAGTTCTGAGGTACGCTTTTAGTGGTGTGATCTCCTGAGCTGAACCCGATTTGCAAGTCTGTAAAGGGCCAGAATCAGGGTCAACCTTAGTAGGTTGAAAAAAATAGCTTGGGAACCTTTGCTAGAACCTTTACACATATAGAGAATTTAGTAAGCCTACCCCGTTAAAGCCATGTGGATAGACTAGGAGAACTAGAATGCATGCGGTTATGACTATTAATTTTCCTTTTATGTTTTCTTCAGTATCAACTTTGATTTGTATTTAATTATTTCTACTAAGATTACGTTTCTTGACTAATCATTTCAAATAATTTGATTCTTTGTGTTTTGTTTCTACTAATATTGTTTTTCTTTTGTATGCTCTTATTGCATTTTTGCATGAACATGACATATCATTCAAAGGTATTGATCCCTAAATAACTGATCATTTAGAAGGTTCTTGAAAACAATGCCACATCAATGCCTTTCTCTGGGATTGGAAGAAATTTGAGGATGCTCTACTTAGATCGAGTAGCGTCAAGAGGGAGCCTACTTACCAAGGAGACGTGCCAGACATTTGCCTGCTGAGGTAACAAGTTGGACTCGAGACAATTTGACGCTGAAGCCAACAGTTGAAGATCACGAACCAGCTCAAAAGATTTATGAAAGTAGGAAATGAAGTAGGAGCTAGAGGGAGTCTATCTACCAAGGAAAAGATCCAGACATTTACCTGCTGAGGTAACAAGTTGGACTCGAGACGATTCAACGCCAAAGCCAACAGTTGAAGATCACAAACCAGTTCGAAAGATATCTGAAAGTAGGAGATAAATTAGAAGTTTTGAAGATGATGCAGAACCATGATGCTCGCAGGAGCTGGGCAACTTACAGATGGACTAGATCTTCACTTTCCCAGTGTACCGAGACATTGTCAGTTTTTCGAGAATTGTTCTAGGAACAGTTATTTTGGGATCAATTCCTTGTTGCATTTGCATCTCGCATTTTATTTTTTGCATCAGTATATACACATTGTGCATTACATGTTATATATTGCATCTCAGCATGTGCATTAATCACGGATCCTGAGAGAAACTCGTGGAGAATCTTGTGATAAAGGTTTTTAGGTGAGATGAAGTCACCCCATTCGTTTTTAGAAAATAATTGAAAGCTATGGACATGACGCTATCACCATCTAAAGATCAAGGAACCTCACTGAGAACAGTGAGGCATTGAAGCGCAATGTTCAAAATTTTATCGATTCAGGAGCATGGACAATCGAAGAAGGATTAGGGCATTGCATCTACCTAAAGGCATTTTTGCACTTGTATGGAGAGCATTATTTTGTTTGAAATCGTTTTTGTTCTGTATTTCATATTTGCTTAATATTTTAATGATTGAACTTATGCTACCTTCTAAGGTTGAATAATTGAACAAGTTTTAATCTTTAGTTCTTTGAAAATCAAATGAATTACGAATTTTCTTAATTCTTCAAGAATTATGGATTTTTGACATATGGCAAGATTAGACATTTTTTATCCTGTCTAAAACCCTAAAAAAATCTCTTGATTCATTACCCAAAATAATTCATGGTCATTGCCAAAGAACCAAATTTTGACATTCCCTCTCTTTGAGACTTTAAAAACATTGCTTTTATCTTTTTCAAGACAAAAATCATGCCCTTACCTTTCATTGAGCCAATAAAGTCACACCATCATCTTCTTAGATGCAAACCACATTTTTTCTACCAATAAAGCCTAAAGATAATGATCACAAGATGTTCACTTGAACGTAAACTTTCTTTTAAGAAGACAACGTGAGACATCTTGCATCAATTTTCTGAAGTTGAGCTTGTACAATTGAGGCATGCTGGAAGCAAAAAGCAGAAAAATTAATTCAAAATAATTCTATCATGCATTAATTACATTGTTTTCATGTGAATAAAATTAATCATGAAAATCTATCCCCCTGAGATACCATTTCTGCAAAGACTTCTGTGTAGGAAATGATGAATGACATTCTTTCATTATCCCTTCACAATAGGAGAAAATATATCCCTTGTGTCGCCTTTGAGCCTAAATTATGTTTTCTTCGGATTCAACCCTAACCAAGGATCACCCTCCACATAGGGGGCAAGGTAGAGGAAATCTATTCGCATGAGCAAAGATCATCAATCCACATAAGATACTGAAAGGTGAACCAAATGCAAAGTGCGGAGATCAAATCGAGGCGAGGATAAAAGAAAAGAAAAAGAGAAAAAAAAGAAAAAGCAAAGAGAAGAAAAAAAGAAAGAAAGAAAAACAAAGAAATAGAGGACAAGAAACACATGCAAAGAGTCTCTCGACTCAAATAACGCATCGAGTTTCAAACCATGAGATTGATCAAGCATAGTCATTTCAGAATCAGTTCACTAGAAGGTCAGGGAGCATCCAAAGAAAATAAAAGACGCATACGAGCAGATTCAAATCGAGCAAGACGAGATTGAAGGCATCAGAATGAATTGATCCTTGGTTCAATAACCCTTAAATACTTGTTTGAGCCTTTTATCCCTTTCTTTCATAACCGTAAACCATGGCCTACATTACATGCTTTAAAAGTCCCTTCTAATCATACATAGATTTTTAAACAGATGAGACTCTCGTCAGATCTCATTCCACCCATCAGGATTAATCTTTTATTTACAAAAATGTTTTCTAAAATATTTAATGCATGATAGAGAAAAAATAACAAAGGGAGTTCAAGACTAAACTCTGAATAATATTTTGAAACCAAAGGAGGATTTGAGTTGAAAACCTGAAAAAGATGGCTCGAATATAAAGACTGTGCAACTGTTGCATAGAAGGTGATATCACAAATCCCTTGATAAAGCATCGCACAATCTGAATGTGCCCCTAAGAGCTAGTAGTCGGAGAATACTTCCAGTAGATGAGCATAAAAGCTACTCTATCAGATATGTGAACATCAAAGAAATAAGAACACAACAGACTAAAGATAGTAACCTGAGACTTTTTTTTCTTACTTAACCGTATCTCAAAGATAGCATTGAACTTGACACTTGTCAAATAACTATAATTTATTTAAGGATTAAAAGTATAATTAATTCTTTGATATCCAATGAACTCTTGTTTTATGATTTGTGTCAATTGTGAAACCTAGAAAGGGGCAATATTTTCTCAGAATCTTTGATTAAACATTTTTAAAAACTTTTCTAATTGATATTTTCAGAATTTTGAAAATAAAAGAAGAAGAAAAACGTTTTTCAGATAAGTCAATCTCTCTGGAGTAGATCTTGGTAGTTGACATGCGGCTCTCAAACACAAAGCTCATGCTTAGAATCAATGCTGAAGCAAGAAACGATGAATGTTGGGGCATCTTTGGGGATTCAACATCCTGATATGAATGATGAGATCTTTTGAATACATTTCCTCAACATGCCAGAGGGGACAATCTATAATCCTTTGAGATCGCCTCCCTTAAAAACAGACTTCGTATCTTTTGAGACAGTTTTACTCGAAAGAATATATTTTGTTTTACTCAAGATTGTTTTTCTGGCTTGAGATAGTTTCCCTCAAAACAAAATATTTTATCTCGCTCGAGATGGTTTCACTCGAAACAGAAGATTTACCTCGCTTGAGATAGTTTCGCTCGAAACAAAAGATTTTAAGAAACTATGCCTGATTTTCAGGGGTTTCTTAATGAAGATTTTCAATTAATTTTTTAAAGGAATCTAAGCTTAATTTTTAGGGGTTCCTTGATAACTAAGAAACTAAGCATGATTTTCAGGGGTTTCTTGATGAAGATTTTCAATGAGTTTTTAAAAGGATGTTAAGCCTAATTTTTAGGGGTTTTTTGGCAACTAAGAAACTAATCCTGATTTTCAGGGTTTTTTATGATTATTTTCAATGAGATTTTAAAAGGAAGCTAAGCCTAAGTTTTAGGGGTTCCTTGACAATTAAGAAACTAAGCTTGATTTTGAAGGGTTTCTTAATGAGTAAATTCTTCGGGCCATCAGTAAGTCTTTCAAGCGTGATGCGTAAGTCCTTCGGGCTATCAGGAAGTCTTTTGAGCATGATGCTTAAATCCTTTGGGTCATCTATAATTCTTTCGAGCAAGATGATAAGTCCTTCGGGCCATCCATAAGACCTTCGGGCAGAATGATTTCAAATGAGTTTTAGAAACTAAGACTGATTTTCAGGGGTTTCTTGATAATTATCTCCAAAGAGTTTTTAAAAAAAGGAAGCTAAGCCTAATTTTAGAGGTTCCTTGATAACTAAGAAACTAAGCTTGATTTTCAAGGGTTTCTTGATGAGTAAGTCATTCGGGCTATCAGTAAGTCTTTCGAGCATGATGCCTAAATCATTCGGGTCATCTATAAGTCTTTCGTGCCATCCATAAGACCTTCGGGCAGGATGATTTCAAATGAGATATAGAAACTAAGCCTAATTTTCAGGGGTTTCTTAATGATTATCTCCAAAGAGTTTTTAAAAAAGGAAGCTAAGCCTAATTTTAGGGGTTCATTGACAACTAAGAAACTAAACTTGATTTTCAAGGGTTTCTTGATGAGTAAGTCCTTCGGGCAATCAGTAAGTCTTTCGAGCATGATGCTTAAATCCTTCAGGTCATTTATAAGTCTTTGGAGCAAGATGATAAGTCCTTCGGGCAATCCATAAAACCTTCGGGCAATGCATCACTCAAGGGATCAACATTTTCAATAGAAATATAATGATAAGAAGAACTCATAGCTTGAAGAACTGAAGATAAAGACACAACCAAGAGAACGAAGAAAAGATTACATCATTTGCAACAAATACTCAATCATTTCACATTAAGAGAAAAATTGACATTCCTAGCGAAGAGTTCGCAGCGTGACAATAAGAGACCAAGTTGAAAAATGGTGCTTTATTATCTTTGCTTCATTCATGTTTCACAGCAATAAGCAAAGAGGGGGAGCTGTAATCACCATTTTACAGCCCAACCGAACCAACCCAAACCAGAACTCTAAACTAGGCCTCAAGCCCAAACCCTAAAATTAAACCCAAATCTGAAGCCCAATTACCAAACTGCCTAAAACCAGACCTGGAAATCTAATCCATCGTTCTTCTACCCAACCAAATCCCATCATTTCCCCTCCCAATCAAAAACCACCTTTCTCTGCCCCAATACCCGAAGAAGGTCACCCCACCATACTCCATCGCTTGCAAACAAGCAAGAAACATACAAGTGGGAATTATTTAATTTCTGTAAAAAAATGGGTATTTAACCTTACAATTAAATTGTAACAGGGGTTTAATTCGAAATCCTTCCCAAAAATTTACAACGAATTCAAATGTTATTCATCTTTTTTTTTGTTTTTAATCATGTTCGAATAACTTATTTTTTATGTGCTCTTTCTCTGTTGATTAATTTCGAAACCCAGTAGTAAAAAAACTTCCTTTTAGTTCGAATAAAATTATCCCCTCGTGTTTCATTTTTTTAAAACATATACAATGATTTCTAGAAAAAAAACCCTTGCATGTTTCGAATAAAAAAATAAAATAGTGTTTTTTTCTTAATAATCAACCAACGATCCAACAGTTTTTACAGTAAATAAAACGAAAAATAAAAGGGGCTAGATCGAAATCTTACCTTGAGTCGTTGGAGGAGTCACCGGAGCTCGGAAAGCCGAATGGACTCGGCCGTTTTCAAGACGATAGAGGTCATTTCGTGCGAAACCGAGCCTTGATCCTTGACGAGGAGCCCGAGATGAGCCTCTCCGTGAATTTTGGTGGCCAACGACCATCGGAGGCAGAGAAGAGGAGAGGGGAGAGCTCTCCATTTTTTTTCTTTTTCTTTCTGTTTTTATTTTCAAATGAAAAAAAGGTAAAAGATTAGTATATATATATAGGAAAAAAATGGTCTAATTGTGTTTTAAATCCTTTAAACTTTACCGTGTTTTTGCATTTTGGTCCCTGTAGGGACCAAACTTTGTCGTGTTCTTACATTTTGGTCACTGAACCTTTCGTTTCTAATTTATTGCAATTTTATTACTCTATTTTGTTTTATTTTAATTTAGTCACTGTTAGTTTCTGATTTAGCTACTGTTATTTTAAATTTTACATTTTGGTCACTGTTTATTTCTTATTTAGTTACTAACTTTTATTTTCTTGCATCTTAGTCATTTTTTTATTTTCTTTCGAATTAGCCCTTACATTTTGGTTTGTTTTAATCTAGCCCTTATTGCATGTTCAATTTGCTTTTTTTAGCTTGGTAATTTTACATTTATGCAATTAGGTTCTCCTATTTTATTTTTAGTTTTATTTTATGTTGTTTTTTTACAGTTTTTATTTTTTATTTGTTGTTTTTTTATTTTAATTATGTTTTAATTGTTTTAATATTTCATAGTTTTAATCTTTTAGATTTAGTTTTAAATTAGAATAACATTCGAATCGAGCTTAGAATTAGGATGACACTTTATCTTAATTAGGGAGCAATTCGAGTCGAGTTTTCACATTATACGCCCGATTACTTGAATCGATTGTTCGATTCTAAAATTAATTAAAAATTAATATTTTCTAAAAATTTTAGTGTAATAATTTAGGTAATAATTAGATTTTAATTAGCCCCTAACTTTAGAAATTATTAATTTATGTCCCATACTTTTAAATCTTTTATAACTCGGTACTTCAGACCTTGATCCTTTTAGTCTCTGAACTTAGATTAGACTCTTAATATTGACATAATTAAATAGGCTAAACAGACCCTCCATTTTAACTTAGATTTCAAATTAGTCTTTTAATTTAGGGGATAATTCGAAGTGGCTTTCGCTTAAAAGCTCGAGGGACCATTTCAGTTATTCGACTCAATAATCGATTAAAATCAAATATGATTAATATTATAGTCTATGTTTCTAGATTTAAGCCCCTAAGTTCTTTAATTTTCATAACTTTTCATCATATGTTAGAAAAACCCTTAATTTATTTTTAGTATAATTATGACAAATAATTTTGCTTGACCACATTGTTTTTATAAACCTAAGGCACTGTTCACTTATTAAGGAATTAATAGTATATCTCCCGCAATCATGCTTAGGGGGTGACTACTGGTAATTCCCTAAATAAGTCACTTGTGGGGGTAATCAACTAGGTACCAATTTTTGGGCGCTTGTGGGGGTGCTAATCCTTCCCCACTCGTAATCGACTCTCGAACTTGATTTCTAGATTTTCACACACCCCAAAACTCGGTATTTTGATAAAAATAAAATGTTTTATTAAAATCACCTAGTTTTTATGGTGTCTTAATCTCACCTTAAATGATTGGTGGCGACTCCTCACATTTCGAATATTATTTTTCAAAGAGAAAATCCCCGAGTCGGTATCGACTTTACCCCGCCTGAGCAAAAGACGGTGTCGACAAAAGCCCATTCGCAAAACCCGAAACTCCTAACTTGTATTTTGGGGTGTCACAACTCTCTCCTCCTAAGAAGAAATTTCGTCCTCAAAATTTACTTGAATAGAAGAGATGCATATATTGAAGTTGCATGTCCTTTTCGAGTTCCCATGTTTCCTCTTTGACGCCATGGTTTCTCCATAAAACCTTTACTAAAGGTATCCTCTTGTTTCGAAGCTCTTTGACATCGTTGGCAAGGGTTTGAATCGGTTCTTCTTCGTAAGTCTGATCTTGTCTCACTTTGACTTGTTCAAGGAGAATAACATGGGACGAATCAAATCGGTACTTTCGAAGCATAGAGACGTGGAACGCACTGTGAATGCGCTCGAGCTCTGGAGGCAACACCAAACGATAAGCCACTAGCCCAACTCTCTCTAAAATCTCATATGGTCCGATGAATCATGAAGTCAATTTACCCTTACCATTGCACCCAAACTGAATTACTTTCTTCCATGTGCAGACTTTGAGAAACACTTTGTCTCCCTTCTCGAACTCAATATCTTTGGCTTCAAATCGGCATACGATCTTTGCCTGTCGAAAGTCTATTTCAGACGACTCTGGATAACCTGAACTTTTTCTGTCGTTTCCCAGATTAAATCGAAGCCTACTATATTGTCCTCATTGAGGTCTGTCCAACACAAAGGAGTTCTGTACTTGCGCCCATAAAGAGCCTCATACGGGGCCATCTGAATACTTACTTGTAACCGTTGTTATAGGTGAACTCCACCAAAGATAAGTGATCCTCCCAACTACATTCTAAATCCAATATAGTACCCAAAGCCTTATGCAAGGTGTTCCAAAATCGAGAGGTAAAATGTAGATCTCTGTCAAATATGATCGAAATAGGGACTCCATGCAACCTCATGATCTCACAGATATACAATTGCGTTAATCTCTCTAATGTGAAGTCCATCCAAACCAGAAGAAAATAAGCATATTTGGTCAATCGATCTACTATAACACACACGACATCATGCCGAAACCTCGTCATCAGTAAACTAGTTATAAATTATATCGTCACTCTCTCCTATTTCCACTGCAGAATCTGAATAGGTTACAATAATCCAAAGGGAACCTGAAGCTCCGCCTTAAGTTGTTGGCAAACTAGACACTTGGCAACAAATTCAGACATATCTTTTTTCATGCCTACCACCAATACCATGGTCAGAGCTCTTGGTACATCTTATTATTTCCCGGATGAACAGTGAGGGGACTACACTGTGACTCATGAAGGATCTTGTCATGAACTTATTTGTCAAACGACACATATAAACGCCCTTGGAAGTACAGTACGCATCCATCGCAGAGTTCAAAACATGGAGCCTCACATCGGAGGACTTTTTTCATTCAGGTCTTCAATTAGTCGTGTGAATCTTGCAACCTCTTAACATCACCACTATCTCAGGTTCAGCTCTTAAATCGTCTAGTAGACAACCCGAATCTGACAAACTTAGACGCGCTATTAAAGCTCTCAGCTCTACTACGGTCTTCTTACTCAATGCGTCTGCCACAACATTCGCTTTACTCGGCTGATAATCGATTATATAGTTGTAGTCCTTTAAAAGCTTCACCCATCTATGTTGTCTCAAGTTAAACTCTTTCCGAGTGAGAAAATACATAAGACTATTGTGATCCGTAAAGACGTGACACTTCTCCCCAAATAAGTAGTGTCTCCAAATCTTTAACGCGAAAACCACTACGGTAAGCTCCAAATCATGCGTAGGGTAGTTTCGCTCGTGTGGCTTTAACTGACGATATGCATAAGCCATAAATTTTCCTTATTGCATCAGAACACATCCAAACCATTTGGTGATGTATCACTAAATACGGTGAAGTCTTTTCTAGACTGCAGTTGTGTCAGAATAGGGGCTTACGTGAGGATTCCTTTTAGCCAGTCAAAACTCTCTTAATGCTTTTCGTTTCATACAAATAGAACCCCTTTCTAAAGTAACATGGTTATCAGTGCCGCAATCATGGAAAATCCCTTAACGAAACAACGATAATATTCTGCAAGGCCTAAGAAGCTGCACACCTTGGTAACATTCTTAGGCGGTTCCCAGTCTAACATTGCCTTAATCTTTTAAGGATCTACCTGGATACCATCAGTTGTTACTACAATACCAAAAAATGCCACTTCAGTTAACAAAAATTTAAACTTCCCAAACTTTACATAGAATTGATGTTCTCGAAGTGTCTAAAGAATGATACGGAGATGTTGTTCATACTCATCCTCGAATCGAGAGTACACAAGGATGTCTTCGATGAAAACCACCCTAAATTAATCCAAATAAGGGTGGAAAACCCAATCCATCAAATCCATGAATACTGCTGGGGAGTTAGTGAGTACGAACGGCATCACGAGAAACTCATAATGGCCATACCTTGTCCTAAAAGCAGTCTTGGCAATGTCTGCATCATTGACCTTTAACTGATAATATCCAGACCTCAAATCGATCTTGGAGAACACACATGCGCCCTTAAGTTGGTCGAACAGATCGTCAATTCAGGAAAGTGGGTAATGGTTATTGATCGTCAACTTATTCAAATGCATGTAATCAATACACGCCTCATCGATCCATCATTCTTTTTAACAAATATGACCAATGTTTCCCAAGGTGAAACACTCAATTTGCTGAAACCCCTATCCAACAACTCTTGAAGCTAGTTCTTCAATTACTTCAACTCTGTTGGGGCCATGCGATAGGGTGCAATGGACACCAGAACTGAACCTAGCACAATCTTTATGCTGAACTCCGTCGGGGTCAGGCGGTAACCTTGGAAAATCTTCCAAAAATACTTCGGAGAATTCCCGAAAGGTGCGGATGTCTTCAATCATCAGGACAGAAACTTGCGTATCCACCACATGAGCCAAGAAGGCTTCGCATCCCTGAGTCAGCAATCTCTGAGCCTTAATTACCAAAACAACTTTGGTAGTGCAACCTGAACTTTCACTCGTTATCACTACCTTGGTCCCATCGTCCTTACGAAGTTTAAGCCGTATCGCCTTGCAACTTAAGCTCTCGTCATGCTCGGTAAGCCAATCCATACCTAAAATTATATCAAACTCAAGAAATAGAAGCTCCATCAAATCGACTAAGAACAATTAACCTTGGACCTCTAAGGGGCAACGACGGTGAACCTTGTCAACCAAAACGTCTAATCCTAGGGGACTAACTAGACACCTTGACTCCTATCCCTAAATTCTCGATTAGAATATTCCTTTCTTAGACCATGTCAGAACAAATATAGAAGTGGGTGAAACTTAGATATATCAAAGTGGTAACAGGAACGGAGAAGGCTGTGAATACACCTAAAGTCACATCTACGACGTTATACTCCTCCTGGTCTCTAATTGTGTACTGGCGCGAGACTACTTTGGGCTCCTAAACG